GGTGGCGGTGGCGGTGGGTGATGGTGGCTAAGGTGGTGGGTGAGGCGTACGCCCGAGAGGAAGTGGACTTGCTTGGTGGGCTCGGGGCAGCGGAGGGCGTGCATGGCGCGGTCGATGCGCCAGCTGAGGTCCTTGATGCCCAGCTGCTCCACCTGCGCCTCGAGCTCGGCCTTGCGCTCGAGCAGCTCCTCCTCATCCTCGTCTTCGCTATCATCGTCATCGTCGTCTTCCTCTTTCTCCCCCTCCAATTTTCGACACACCTGCAATAAAAGACCCGCAGCGTCACCATCTGCCGCGCGCGCTGTGCGTGCGTGCTGTCGTGTGTGTCGTGTGTGGTGCGTGTCGTGTTACCTCGTTGTACTCCTCGAGGATGTCGAGTTTGTCCTGCACGCCAGCCAACACGTTGCCGCGCACGTCCTTTGTGGGATCCAGCTCGGGTTCCTGTGCGTGTGCGGTGCGTGTGTGATGTCAAAACACGACCCAAAGGCCAAAGAGTTCTGCGAGGGAGGGTTGAGACCTGTGGCAGGTATCCGACTTTGACGCCATCGTGGACGTGCGCCCGGCCGTCGAAATCGTCGTCGAGCCCGGCGATGACCTTCATCAACGACGACTTTCCCGCGCCTGTCGTGTCGTGTCGTGTCGTTGGTCGTGTGTGTGTGTGTGTGTGTGTCATGTCAGGACCGCCACAGTGTGGCCACCACAACCACCCACGTGGCGAGCATCAACGTACCGTTCGGGCCGAGCACGCCGATCTTCGATCTGAGTCGCGGTTCAAAAACAGTCGAGTCAGGCAGTTGCAGGCGAACCGCACACGACACGACACGACACACGCACCACCGCACACGACACAGCAGCAAGCACAGGTGCGCACCGTTCGTAGAGGGAGAAGGAGAGATCGGTGAAGAGGGGCCGGCCGTCGGGCAGGGTCTTGGAGAGGCCCTCGCACGAGAACACGAAGCGGCCGCCGACCTTCTGTCCCTTGCCCTTCTTCTGGAGCCGCTCGGCCTTGTTGGCCTCCTTGCCGGTCTCCTTCACCTTCTGGTCCTTGACCCGCGCCTTCATCTTATCTGTGATTTATTATTTATTGTTATTTATTTGGAGTAGAAAAATAATCATGATGCATAAACGATTAAATAATAATAAAATAAAATAAAGAGATGGGCAGCGTACCGGCGTAGGAGGGAGAGGCGAAGAAGCGGCGAGTGAGGGCGGAGAGGCGGAGTTCGGACTGCAGCCCAGTCCGGAGGCGACAGGCTTGGTGTTGATTACCAGCAGATGGCCAGGACGGAGATGCGATTTTGGCGGAGGAAGATCGGAACAGGCGGGCAGCCTGCATTCCCTCGGCGCCGGTGTGGGCCACACTGCGGGAGGCCAGCCCAGTGCCCGTGCTCCATGACCTGCGCACCTGATGCCGTAACATCCTCGACGTTTTGTAAAACCTCTTTTTTTGACAATAATTTATTGATTTATTTAAAAGAATGTTAATGCCCGTAGCTCCGTTGACAGGCAACAACAACAACAATTGGTTGTGTGCAACTTGCGACACAAACTTGGCCACTCACAAGTGTATATAATAGTATCTTTGTTACTCACTATTCTTTCTTTGTTTGTTAACACTTAGGCAGAGATCTTGGCCTTGGACATGAGCTCGGCGAGCTTGGTGGCCTCCTCTTCCCAGTCCTCCTCGACCTCGTGCGACGCCGCGTGCCCGCCCTTGCCGCCCTCGTGGCACGCACCGCACAGCAGCAGCTTGCACTCCTTGCAGAAGAGCTCGGGCGACATCTCCTTGCACACCTGGCACTCCTCGCCCTCACCCTCTTCATCATCATCATCCGAGTCACCATCGTCATCCGAGTCGTCGCTGGCCTCGGCCTTCTGCTTGGCGGCCTCGGCAAAAGAGCGGCGCGCGGCTTCGAGGCGCGGTCGGAGCTTGGTGTCGTAGACCTCGCGGCGCAGGACGGACAGGTCGGCGGCGGCGACGGCAGCGGCGAACTCGGGCGCGCGGGCGACGATCGAGCGGAGGAGCTCGGGCGTGATGGCGCGGTGCTTGGGGTCGAGGCGCAGGAGCGCGTAGAGGTTGGCGGCGTCCTTGGTGCGCAGAACCTCGTCGCGCAGGTGGTCGACGACGGAGAGGCCGAACTGGAAGAGGTAGCGGCTGCCCCCGGCGAGGAAGCCCTCGAAGAAGGTGAAGAGGAGCTCAAAGGGGAGTACATGCACGCCCAGGCCTACGAACCACTTCTGGCAGTAGGTATCGGGCAGGATGAATCGCTGCTTGAGATGCTGGACTACTTCGTTCTGCTCCCGCGCGAGAATCTCCTCGAAGACCAGCGCATCGGTGGCGAAGCCGACGGCCTCGTGCTTCCAGTAGCCGGGCACGTAGCGCTCGTTCTCGTTGAGCTCGGCGAGGATGGTCACGGCCGAGGCCTCGTCGAGGGTCAGCATGAGGAAGCTGGTCACGTAGCCGAGCCCCTGCGCGTAGTCGCCGAATCGGTGGATGATGGCGGTGAGCACCCGCTGCAGCTTCTCCCGCTGGGCCTCGCCCAGGAACGTTCGCTCAGCATCTCGCAGCACGATGCGCTGATTCTCTTCGCTAATGGCGGTGGCCGCCGGCCATTCAAAGTCCTCTGGAAGCGGCTTGGCCCCGGCCAACTCCGGCCATCTCTGCACCAGTCGGAGCACCCCCTCGACATCATCTCCCGGCTTCAGGAAGCCATCGTTCCTCTGCAAGAGCGGCGCCTCTCCCTCCTCCGCCCAAAACGTGGCCTTCCGCAACATGTCGTATAAATCCTCGCCTCCTGGTCTCAATTTGTTAGCAATGAAAATCTTGGCGCCTTGTCGTGGCCCCTTTGGCGGGAAAGTCTCGAAGCTTCCAGAGCTTGAAATGTAGAGAAAAGAAAAAGAAACCAGAAAATTCTCATACCAAGCATTCTAACATTCCTCTGATAAATCTGGGGCTCAGCTCGCCCGATACCAGGTAACGCCGGAATTTCCGCCACTGCCGTGGCGCCATAGGTGGGAAGGTTCGCAGAAAAGCTCCGAGAGAAGCCGATTCCGCCGTAACCGAACGGGCAAAACAACAACAGCACAACGCGCCATAGACCGAAAACACAAAGCAAACGCCACGTACGCACGCGGCAACAACAGGCAAGACCAGAAACTAGACTTGGGGCCACCACCCAACCGAGCACACACAACAATATTGCTTCTCTTGGCACCTGGACACACGAGACAGGAGCTAGTACCCCAACAGCAAAAAACACTTCTTTTTACACCAACCAGTACTACTTTCTACACAACGACAAGTAGACGCCTCGAGGAGGAGGATCCGGCTGCCCGCAAGCACAACGAAATGGTGAGCCACGACCCGCGGTGCCAGAAGGCCACGCACGTAGCGGCCCCATCCGAGCACCTCGTCGATGACAACGTGTCGAGGGGCGGCGAGAAGGGCCAGGTCAAGCAGGTCGGCAGGAAGCGACGCCTGGCGCTCAGCGCGTCGAGCGACAGCAACAGCAACTACGCCGATGAAGACTACCAGCCTCCCGCTTCTGGCGACGTAGACTACGAGGAGCCGGCGCCCAAGCGGTCGCGCCACGTCGAGGAGGCCGACGAGAAGCAGAGCGGGTGCACCGACGAGTGGCAGGTGCCCTCGTCGCCGCTACTCGACGAGGAAGACGATGAAGAGGACAGCAGCACCAGCAGCAGCTCAGAGAACGAGGAAGACAACGAGGACGTAATCGAGGTGCCGCACCCGCCGCCTCGAACATGGGTGGCCAAGGTCGAGTGGGCGCTCGGCCGACGCGGGGGCAAGGGCACCCTGGCCGACATCTACACCACCATCGAGGCCGCCTTCCCCGAGGAGGTCGATGGCAAGCGCAACTGGAAGGCGGCCATCCGCTCGTGTCTCTCCAAGAACGAGAAGCGCAAGTTCTACAAGCCCCACGCCCACGGGTCGAGCCTCGCCGCCGGATCGGGCAAGGACCACCTCTGGTCCCTCGTCGTACCGCGCGAGGGTGGCGCTACGCGGCCGGCTGTGAGGCGCGGACGACCCGCGGGCCGTCGAGCCACCACTACGCGACGGATGACCACCCGGCACGCTCGACTTGTCGAGGAGCAGCAGCAACAACCACCACAGCAGCAGCAGCATCAGCAGGAGGAGAAGGCGCAGGAGCTGGTGATGGTTCACCCGCAGGAGCTGATGGACGAGCTGGACGACCTTCCCGACGTGCTGGTCGAGCAGTTCGTGAAGGAGGAGCGGATGGCGCAGCTGCTTCGGCAGAAGGAGCTTCTGGAGCAGGACATCCACCGCCTCCTCGAGGACAACAACGCCGATTGCGCCGACGGCCTCTCGCCCGATCAGGAGGACTTCCTGAGCCATCTTCTCGCCTGAACAGTTCTCTCCTTTCTTCACTTCTTCTATACCTCTGTTATATGTTGTACATGATCCCTCCTTCCCACATGTAATTCTGTAAATATTGTTCATATATATATTATTTATTATTGATATGAAAACAACAACACGTGCACTTGAGCTGGAGCAGCCAAGGAAGAGGGCCATCAACGGATGTCCCCCTGGTGGTCACCACCTGTGGGTGGAGCACAAGCACAAACTCCTGGAACCAAGGCAACACCAACAACATCACAACAAAAGAGAGTGACAGCAAGGCTGGAGGTTGAAACCAATTCACATTTCAGTTGTGGGCCAATTCACATTTCAGTTGTGGGCCTACAACTACACTACTTAGGCTACATAGGAGTAGGTGTTGGTCTCGCCCTCCTGGCGCTGGAGGTACTCCTTCTCGATGAGGTGCTCGATGCACTTCTTGATCATGGGGATCGAGGGCTGGAAGCGGGCCTTGGCCTGGGAGATGGTCTCCTTGACGAGGTTGACGTGGGTGAGCGTCTTGCGGGCCTTCATGATGCGCACGATCGCGGCCTGGAGGAACAGCTTGCGGTCCTCCTCGATCGACTTGTGCGTCTCACTGTTCTCCTCCTTCGTCTCCTTCTGCAGCACCGCCGCCGGCTTGAACCGCAGCCGCTTGCTCGCGAACCGGTCGTTGAGCGTCACCGCATCCGTGGGCTCGCACGTCGCGCCGTCGGGCTCCTTCCGCAGGATCTTAGACGACACCAGCGACTGCAGCGTGCGCGTGAGCTCGCGGTCCTTGAGATTCGTCGACGAGCTGATCTCCTCCACCGTCAGCCGCTCGGCCTTGTTGAACATGAGCAGCACGCCCATCTGGTAGTTCGTGACTTGGAACTCGTAGCGCTTCTTCAGGTAGAACGTCTTCAGGTCACCCTTCGACAGGTGGTGCAGCCAGTTCACCTTCCGCCCCGTGTACTGGCTGTTGTAGTACCCCGTGAAGTTGTTCACACACCTCTCCAGCTGTGTGCGATCGACAGGCAGACAACCCGAGTGAGCGACAACCGCACACGCACACGACGCAGACCAAAAGCGCACACGCACACGCACACCATGGCACGCGCAGGGGGTACCTCTTGGGGGACGTTGAAGGTGGCGGATTGGGCGGTGAGGGGCCAGGAGCCAGCGGTGAGGATGAGGATGTTGAAGTCGAGGCCGTTGGAGAGGCTCTTGATCTCGAGGTACTCCTTGAACTTCTCGTTGATGTCGTTTGAGAGCGCCATGTCGTTGAACATCCGCTGCAGCTTCGACGTGTACTCATAACCGCACGCCTGTCCAATCGGAGGTGACGTGAGCAGACACACACGCACACCCGCACGACACGCGCCCATGATACACGGCACACGGCACACGGCACGCGCGGCACGACGCACGCACCTGTTTGAGGCCACCGATCATGGCGCTTTCGGCGTCGTCGGAGAGCGAGGTGCCGTGGATCAACCGGCGGGCGAGCATCTTGCTGTAGAACTTCTGGAACACATCCTTGTCGTCGACGTACTTGAATATCGTGAGCTGCCACACGACCACACCACACGCACACGCACATGTTCATTAGTAAGATGCCGTGTGTCGTGTCGTGTCGTGTCGTGTCGTGTCGTGTCGTGTCGTGTCGTGTCGTGTCGTGTCGTGTCGTGTCGTGAGCAACGTACGACTTGGTTGAGCATCTGGTCGAGCTTGTCGTCCTCGAAGGTCTTGTTGCTCTTGGAGAGGATGAAGTCGGAGTACTTGGCCAGCAGCTCCGGCGACTTGGTCGTCCGCTTGTTGATGGGGTTGTCGTTCACCACCTGCCTCATCGCCTGCTCGCACCAGAACGCACGCGTGAGTTCTGCGCACGCACACGGCCGCACACGACACACACGGCGCAACGGTACCTTGTCCAAGGAGGCGACGAACGCGGAATCGTTTTCGAATGCGGTCTTGACGACGTCGCTGAACTTGACGTATACGTCAAGCAGCGTCTGTACATATTTAACAGGATCCTGTTCGTGCATGTGCACATGCCGTGTGTGTGTGCGTGTGCGTGTGTGTGTGTGCGTGTGTGTGTGTGTGTGTGTGTGTTGTGTCGCGACCGAGTTGAGCATGTACGCTAGACGTGGAGGCGAAAGTGGGGTGGCCACGTGCGAACCTTGGTGGAGGCTTCGGGAATGGATTTGACGGCATCGAAGCCGACGTCGGTGACGTACTTCTGCAAAACTTCGAGCATGGGATTGATGCCCTCCGGGATGCGCGACAGCAGGTGGTACATACGACTCAGGTCTGCAGACCCCCGCGTTTTGCCATCAGTCACCGCACACGCACACATGACACACACGACACGACACACACGAAACGGCCGCACACATGAAACATGAGGGCGGGTTGCGGGTGGTTAGTACCGTCTCGCTTGTCGTCGGCAAGGTAGGTCTTGCACTCGACCTGCATGAGGTCCTTGTGGCGCTCGATCAACGCTGTGTCGCATTCCCGTTTGAGCTACACACGGCACACGGCACACAACACGCGGTGAGTTGGCTTGCTTCCTTAAAGTGCGTGTCGTGTCGTGTCGTGTCGCGTGCGGTGTGGGTACCTTTTCGAAGGAGCTGGAGTCGAGGTATTTCTTGCCGCGGCCGGCCTCCTCCTCGAGGCGCTCCTTGGCCTTCTTCATGTAGCTCGACACGCCGTTGGTCGAGATGAAGGCGCCCGACTCGCGCGCGTAGTAGTCTCGCGTGTCCTCCAGGAACGGACCCTCGAAGAAGTCCTTGTAAATCTCCAGCGGCTTGTTCTTGTTAATACTCCCCAGCTTGACTGCGCACGACACACACACGACGCACACACGACACACACGACACGACACGGCACGCACGGCACGCACACACGGCACACGGCACACAACGTGTGATGAGAAGAGTGAAGGGAGGGAAGAGTGAACGGTGGATGGGTGTTGATTTACCGAAACTTTGGATGACGCCGGCGACGACTCGCTCGTTGATGAGCTCCCCGTCGCGCTCCTTGGTGATGAGCTCGAGCAGCGATCGCACCAGGCGGTCCTTGACCTTCGAAAACACGTGGTCCTTCCAGATCACCAGCGCGAGCTGATGAAGCACACACACGACACACACACGACACACACGACACACACGACACACGGCGTTGGTTGATGGACATCAACGAGCCAAAGCAAGAGGGAACAAATCACGACCACACGGAACGTACCGTGAACACTTCATAGACTTCCGTTGAGGACGAGGGACCGGCAGAGAAGCCGCCCAGCTTGTTGCGCGAGTCCTCCAGGCGCTTTCTGATCCAGTTGTTGTTCTGCCCAGTAGATGAAAGCACAATATTAACAATATATATTAAATAATATCAAAATCGATCAATCACAAGCGTGCAGGTCGAAGATCGACGCGCGTGCAAACGCGTGCGAAGAGAGGGCGTGCGCACCAAATATCTAAAGATGTGATGGCAGTATTCTGAGCCAGTCGAGTAGGCTTCCCATTTCTTCAAGTAGTCTGCAAGCAAATCCCCCTGACCCTCAAGCATGTCCTGATTTTTGTGGTTCGCGTGAGTAGGACGTCGTGCAAGATGCAGATTTGGGGGGGGGGGTACATCGCGCAGAGCGCCGACATGCCGCTCGAGGAAAGCGCGAAGGCGAAGGTAGAGCTCCTCAGAATAGGGTTGAGGCGTAGCTGTGCAGAGCTTATAGATGTCCCTGTGGGGGGATTGACACAACGTCAATCCTCCTTTCGTTATTGATGGTCTTTGGGGGGGAGCATACTCGATCATGGGCATGCCCTTGACGCCCGTGAGGGTGATGATGTTGGCCACCCCCTCCTGCAGTCCATTCCATATCTTCTCAAAATCGACCTTTTGCGGACTGAGACTCATCTGCGCCAACCCAATCGAAAGAAAGATCAAAATCAGCCATATTGTTAAATTAAATGTAAACAGCGAGGTTCATTGAAGATTCTCAGATGCCACGCAAAAGAATAGCGCACAAGGGCGAGAAAAACGGTCGCATTGGCATACCTGTGCGCAAGCTTCGATCCACGCGAGATGATGTGTTGTACTCTCAACAAAAAAAGACAGAAAATGGTTGTTCGCAGAAAAGAAAGGGCGCGAAATACTGAGTATTTTGCGATTTCAATTGAAATCGCAAATTGCTGCACAGATCGAGATGCTGAGCTGGGCACAGGTGCCGACCTGCGCTGGGGCTATGGAAGGGGAAAGGTTGCCTGGCATTCACTCACCTTACCGACGTTGAACGCTGCCGCAGTTTGCGCAAGAGTCCGCCCAATTTGCAGAGCGAGTCGGTGGCGGGTGGGAGTACATCACTTTACACGCGCGCCACGTACACCCTCCGCCTCCATCATTATTCATCCATCTATTTATTGCTCTCTTGTTGTAAATTTCATCTAATGTAAAGTGCTCTCGTCAGGGGGGTGCGTACTTGGTGTGCAGGAACAACACAAGGCGTGTGGCTGCCGTGTCCGACGAGAAGACCCCACGCCATCAACCGGTAGAAGGTGAGCACGTGCTTGACCAGGTGGCCAGTGACGCTCCGATCATCGTGGAAGACCCGGACGACTGCGCAGTGGTGGTCGCCGCCGGCCACGACCCCAGCGCCAGCGCGGTCCACGTGTACGACTACTTCGTGGTCTACAGCTCCACCTACCAGGTCCCCGTACTCTACTTCCAGGCCTCCCACCTCGGTACGCGGGCCTCGTGTGTCGTGTGCGTGTGTCGTGCAAGCTGCTCACATGTGTTCGCACGCACAGACGGTCGGATGCTGACGTGGGAGGAGGTGTGGGCCGACGTGCCCTCGCACCACCGAGACGAAGACATGCGATGGAACTTCATCACCCAGCAGGTACCCCTCGATGTGCATCGTGCATCGTGCTGGTTGTGTGTCTTGCCTGTGTTTCGTAGTTTCGCCATCTGCTCGACACGACCAATGACACGACACGACACACACACGACATGGCAGGAGCATCCAGTGACGGGGGTGCCGTGCTACCACATCCACCCGTGCGAGACGAAGGCCCTCATGACCAGCCTCACAGCTGACGCCTCCACCCCCAGCCCAAGCAGCAGCAACTACCTCATGGCGTGGCTGTCGGCCGTGGGACCCGTCGTGGGCCTCCACCTGCCGCTCACCGCCTGGCTGTCGCCCGCCTCTACCAATGCACCACCCTACCATAATTAATTATTTCAATATTGTTTATTTTCCTTTATTTATCTGTTTATATTTATGTATTTACAGTACGCCTGGTTTCACCTGGATTTCTGACCAGGATTGGCAACGACTGACTGAATTGAGAGCTGGACGATGAGATTGTTGATGCCCTCTACCAGGCCCGGCCGAATACTCGCCCACCACTCCACCGCAAGCTGCTGGCCAGACAACAACTCACCTGGCCCACACCACTACTTAAGGCAATTGCTACGGCCGTTGTTTGTTTTCCAATCCACTTGCCCAGACCACACGACATGAAGACGACGATGCATCAGTTGATGGCGGCGACGATGGTGATGGTGATGGTAATGATGGGGGCGACGGCACAGAGCGCGAGCTGCGGTCAGGGCCTCTTCAGCGACGCGAGCGGGTGCTGCCCGATGGCGATGGCCGGCGGGGCCTTCTACCGCGACGCCCGCGGGTGCTACCCGACCCTCACCTCCGTCGGCGTCCTCTACGCCGACTCCAACGGCTGCTACCCCAACGCCAACGTACACCTCCCACACCGCACGCACACGACACACACGACACACACGACACACACGACACATACACTCATACTGGTGTGGACACGTGCAGGGTACGTATGAGGTGCAGGGCGCGAACTGCACGACTCCGTGCCAGGTGCAGTGCCTCAACGCTACCACGCCGGCCAACGCCACGGCCTCGCCCTCGCCCTCTGCGAACGCCACGGCCTCGCCGGCCGCCAATGCCACCGCTTCGCCTTCGCCGGCGGCTAACGCCACGGCTTCACCCGCGGCCAACGCCACGGCCTCGCCGGCGGCTAATGCCACCTCTTCGCCTTCGCCGGCGGCCAACGCCACTGCCTCGCCCGCGGCCAACGCCACGGCCTCGCCCTCGCCCTCTGCGACGCCATTGGTCGGCGGCGCGGCCAATGTGACCGCGAGTTCGTTTCCGCCAGGCCCAATCATGAGGGCTCCGGCAGGGACTGACCCGTGACGTATCGTGTCGTGTCGTGTCGTGTCGTGCGGTGTCGCGTTGCGTGTGTGCGGTGGCGGCAGACCTGACGACTTGCGAGAGCCTCGATCGGAGCCCGCTGCCGTGCGACACCCCCATGCAGCCGTTCGAGATGATGCTGCTGGCCCTCCGCCCGCTGCAGCTCAACTGCAACTGCAACGGCACCACCGCCCTCCCCAACCAGCAGCCCCCCTCCGCCCCCTCCGTCAACGCCACGTCAGCCAACGCGACGGCGGCGGCGAATGAAACGATGGCGGCCAACGCGACGGCGGCGGCGAACGAAACGATGGCGGCCAATGCGACGGCGGCGGCAAATGAAACGATGGCGGCCAATGCAACGGCGGCGGCCAACGAGACGATGGCGGCGAATGCGACCACGTTCCAGGCGTCGGCCCAGGCGCAGGGGCAGGCCCTGACGATCGAGAAGATCTGCAGTGCCACCTGCTCGGCCAACCTCTGCAACGACACCTGCCTCCGCGTCTTCATTGCCGAGAACGCCACCGAAGCCACCAACGCCAACGACATCCAGGCACCAACCCTCCCTCTCGGCTGTCACACTTTGTTCGCTCACTCATGTCGTGTGTCGTGTGTCGTGTGTCGTGTTGTGTGCAGATTCTCAACTTTGCGCTGACGCTGGAGCTGTTGGACTCGACGTTCTTCGCGGAGGGGCTCAACAACTTCACCGCTGCGGACTTTGAGGCGGCGGGCTTCCCCAACACCACCTTCGACTTCATCACCCGCATCCGCGACAACGAGCTCGGCCACGCCGCCGCCCTCCAGTCCGCCATCGGGTCCGGACACCTACTCCCGCCTCTGCCACCACACCGCCGTTGACTTCATCATCTTTGTGTCGTGTGCGTGTGCGGTGGTGCGTGTGCGTGTGCGGTGGTGCGTGTGCGTGTGCGGTGAGTGCAGCTCGTTGGGCGGTACTCCCGTGCAGCAGTGCAACTACAGCTTCCCCGTCAGCAACGTGACCCAGTTCGTCGAGATCGCCCAGGTACGTCCCCTTCTCCACATTGAAAATGTGCCGAAAATAATGATAACTAAATGGCAATAACTAGGAAATAACATAAATAACCAAAAATAATAAACCAAAATAACGAAAACGAATAACGAAGTAGAATAAATGATTGCTGATGTGGTGGTTTGTGTGGGTGGCAGCGATTGGAGAACGTGGGCGTGAGCGCCTACGACGGGACGCTGGCCTTCCTGACGAGCCCGCAGCTGCAGACGACGGGCGCCACCATCGCCTCCGTCGAGGCCCGCCACGCGGCCTACCTCAACCTGCTCCGCGGCATGATCCCCTTCCCCGACGCCCTCGACACGCCCCTCCCCATCGCCACCGTACTCAACTCCCCCCGCACTCTCGCAGCCGCACACCACACGCCCTAACCCGTGTCGTGTCGTGTCGTGTCGTGTCGTGTCGTGTGTCGCGTGTGTGTCGTGGACAGGTTCTTGGGATTACGGACGCGTTTGTGGTGTCGTGCCCGGACGAGGCCAGCCAGCAGATGCTCGAAATCCTCCGCAGCCGCGGTACTGCCACGCCTGCGAACGCAACCCAGTCGTAGAGCGCGACGCTGCCCTGTGGTGGTGGTCTTCGGCCGAAGATGAAAAGGCCAATCGAACATTGATAAGTTTCGTTCGATCCGTTCCGCGAATGGGGGGCTGAGCTTAGGTCTACGGCGAGTCACAGGTGAGGAAGGAGCGGAGGCTGGGGCTGGGTGCGCTGCTCCCCTTGAGTCGCTTGAGCTGGTCCAGCTTGCCCGACAAGACGATCAGCTTGTCCTTGACCTATCGGTTGCGTGTAGTGTGAGGCGAGACTTTGTGGACACGACACGCACGACAGAGGGAGGAGGCGGTACGCGTGTGATGGCGAGGTTGAACCCGTGTATCTCTCGGATGCGCGCGTTGAGGGCCTTGAGGGCCACTGTGAGCCGCTGTCCCGCCTCCGAACGCAACACCCGCCCGCTCTACATCGTTACGTGTGTGCGGTGAGCGTGTTGCGTGTGCGGTGAGCGTGTTGCGTTTGGGGTGATGCAAGGAAATTGATATCGTGCGCACCATGGCGATGGCGGCAAAGTCGATGAAGTCGATCATGCACGACAGGAGGGCGTAGTCGGTGTCCGCCCCGATCTCGACGCCCGCCAGCATCGCAGACATGCGGTCCAGGCTCGCCTCGTCCCGCGCGCGGGCCTCCGCCTCCCCCTCCTCGAGCCCGCCGCCGCCATCGCCGCCATCGCCTCCGGCCACGGCCGGTACCGACTCGTTGGCGAGCACCGAGACCACGACGGCCGCGGTGGCTCCGAAGTGGTCCTCGAGCAGGGCGAGGGCCATCCGCTTGCGGAGCTGCAGGACCCGCGGCGAGGCGGCGGTCGGGAGGAGCGACAGCACGACCGCCTGGTTGGGCACGTGGCCGCCGTGGCCCGTCACCAGCAGCTCCGTCATCACCCGCCGGAGCTCCACCTCCTCTGTGCACCCACAGAACCAAACCACAAACGCACTCGTCAGCAGCCAGCGTGTGCGGTGTGTGCGGCGGATGACGTAAGGAAAGCACGGCGTACGGAAGAGGAGGGGGTCGGCGGGGGAGAAGACGGGGTGGTCGAAGATGGCGCAGAGGCACGCGCGGAGGGAGGCGTAGCAGCGCGACCCCACGCGACGGTCCTGGAGCAGCACCCCCACCCATCGCAGCATTGCCACCACGTCATGCTCCAGATACTCGCCCGGTCTACAACGAACACGCGACACACACACACACACCGCACGCACACGCACACGCACACGCACACGACAGACCAACGACACGACACGCATCAACGCAAAGACGAAAGAGTGAGAAGACTGATGGCAGAACGCACGCGCACACGCGCACACGCACCGGTGGCGGATGGCCCGGGCCATGTAGTCGAGGACGCGTTCAAGGTTGGCGACGGGGAATCGCTCCGGCGAGTCCGCCGACCGATGGTCCTCCGGTGACGACGAGTCGTCGTCGGCGTCGGGTGCGGTCGCTGCCCCGGAGGAGACTGAGGCGTCGGTGTCGAGCCGCGCGGCGCTGCTGAAAACATCGGCAGCGCCGTACCACCGCAGGACGTCCTCGAAGTCGCGGATCGACGCCACCCAAAGGCTCCGTGCTGCCTGTCGTTCCGATGAGTGTCGTGTGTCGTGTGTCGTGTGTCGTGTATCACGTGTGTGCTTTGTGCGTACTGTTCGTTTAGTGGCGGTTGCCTTGAGGGCTTTGCCGGCGGCCCAGACGATGTGTTCGTTGGCCGTTTCGAGGGCGGTGATGTGGAAGAGCCATCGCAGGAAGGACTCGGGCACGTCGCGGGTGGTCTTGACGAACCGCAGGCATTCGCCGCTTCCCAGAAAAAGAGGCCACGTGTCCTCTGCACGTGCATCCATGCCTATCCCGTCAGTACACACGATACGACCAACGACACGACACGACACGACACGACACGACACGACACGACACGACACGACACGACACGACACGACACGACACGACACGACACGACACGACACGACACGACACGACACGACACGACACGACACGACCAACGACACGACACGACACGACCAACGACACGACACACGCGTACCGTCGATCATACTCGGGAGGAGCACATCAGGATCGAGGGCACTCGGAGGTTCGGTCGCGGGCAATTTCTGCACAAAACACCCGGGCAGGCATGACACACGCATCAAGTCAGTCAGCACATACACGAGTCGGTCACCGCTCGAGCGATCTCTCTATTCGCACACATACCCACGGCCAGTGCGGAAACACGTCCAACCGGCGCTCTTGCCTGTCGAACTTGTCGCTCGTTCCTTGCGTCCTCTAAACACGTGCGCGTGTCGTGTGTGTGCGATTGTGTGTGTGTGTGTGTGTGTGGTGAAAATTTGAATCGGGCAAGCAGCGTCGACGGCGCGGGAATGCGAGGGAACCTGCTGGCGCAGGGCGGTCTCCTGCTGGATGAAGGCCAGAGTCTCCTCGTCGTAGCCGTTGCCCGTTTCGGCGTCGGCGTCAGCGTCCTGGTTTTCGACGAGGTCGGCCAACAGCTTGTTCACACTCCACTTACCCTCTGCTGACCTCCTGCCCGCCCGTGTCAGCGTGTGTGTGTGTCATGTGTCATGTGTCATGTGGGTGTGGGTGTGTGTCGTGTGTCAGCGTGTGTGTCGTGTGTGGCAGCGTTTGTGTCAGCGTGTGTCGTGCCGCTTTCTGGAGGTCACAGCGGGACGAGGGCTGGGCTTGGGGCGAGGGGCAGACGCGGCGGTGTCCTGGCGTCGTGGTCGTAACCGGCTGCTCACCGGTTTCGGTTCGATAGCGGCGGCGAACGCCGACGCCAATAGAAAGTCATCCTCCTCCGTCAGCGCCCGCCCTGAGTGTGGCGCGCATGTGGAGTGTGGTGCGTGCGTGCGTGCGTGTGTGCGTGTGTGTGGAATGTGAAGAAACGTATGTCAGAGTCTCGCACGCAATGTGAGGTGTGAGATGGGCGGTGTCGACGTCGCACGCGTACCACTTGTGGTGGTCGACGAGGTGTGTGGCTCCTCTTCCTCCTCCACCATGGTGCTGTCGAGGTCCTCCATAAAGTCTTCTCCCGGGGCGCAAAAGTCAGTCTTGACCGCACACGCGTGTGTCGTGTCGTGTTGTGTCGTGTGTAGCGCTGGGCACGAAGGATGGTACCGTTCAAGTCGAAGCTGTCCTCCCGCGACAGCTCGTCATCGTCGCTGCCTTCCTCTTCCCTGGCCAAGTGCCTCCCTTTTCGCTTGCTCTTCGGCGGGCTTCGCTTCTCGGCCTCTCGTTTCCGCTTCTTCGTCTTCTGCGTCTGGGTCGTCGTCGTCTTCTCCTTCTCCACCTCCGCCTCTTCCTTTCCTCCTCTCTTCTTCTTCTTCTTCTTCATCTTCTCTTCCTTGGCCTTCTCCTGCAGTTCTTCTTCATCGTTCTCTTCTTCATCGTGTTGAGTCTTCTTCTTGTCATCGTCGTGTAGAGGCTTCTTGTTCTTGTTTGTGTTGTTGTTGATGGTGGTGGTAGTGGTGGTGTTACGCCGCGTCGGCGTGCTGCCTGCGCCAGGCGTGGACTTGCTCGGGCTGGCGATCAGCTTGCCGCGACCCAGCACCAACGTCCTGTTGCCCCGCACATACGACGTCACGCCACAGGGCCAATCGAGAACATAAAATTGATTGAAAATCATGATCTGGATGTGTACCTGGGCGGAGTGGCTCGCGCTGGCGAAGAAGGCCGCGGCGTGCCCGTGGAGCGCCGGGACATCGCTTCTGGCAAGTCGTCGCGCTCCATGTTGTGCTACTCGTCTTCAGCCGTAAAATAAATACAAGAAATTATTGTCTGGTTTTCCTTTCATTTTATTATTTTCCTTTTATTTTTCTTTTTTACCCATTTATGTCCGCAACGGCGGTGGGTGCAACGTAGGGCGACGCCACTTGCTGCTGTTCGGGTCCTTCATCTTCTCCTTCTTGCTGTTGTTGTTGTTGTTCATCTACTTCGCCTGCTTCTGCTTCTGCTTCTGCCTCTTCGCCATCGGCCGATGGGTCCTGTTTGCTGTCGACATCGTCCAGGATCCAGCCATCGTCCTCCAGCTCCTCGAGGTCTTCCTCCTTCAGACTCGACCAGTTCACCACCACCGACACTCTCTTCTTTGCGAGCCTGTCGTGTCGTGTGTCGTGTGTCGTGTGTCGTGTGCGGTGTGTGCGTGTCAGCGAACATAAGAACGAAAAAGCGAAAAGCGAAAAACGAATAGATACCCGAGATCGAGCAGGTGGTGCGTGGCGTTGGGCGACCGGCCGCCGGTCATGGCGCTCTTGAGTCCGAGGGACGACTTGTTGCGCCACAGGCTGGCCTCGCCCTTGTCCGGCTTCACCGGCGGCGAGCGCGCCTCCTCCCTCCGAGACGGTGACCCCGACAGCCCGCGCGGCAGCGAACGCACCCAGCCTACGCCCACCACCAGCCACCACCACCGCCGCCGCCATTGAGCAGAGAAGATTGTTGAGATGATGAACTGTGATTGGTGGTGGCGACCGAAGCGTTTAGTGAGAGGGAACCTGGAGAGGTGGGCGCGGCGGGGGAGCCGGGCGAAGCGTTGGGTCCGACGGTGGTGGATCGTCGCTTGTGGAAGTTGGTCGAATTCGACCGCATGTAGATGCGCGAAGGCGGTCTCTCCGTTCCTGCGTGTGCGTGTGCGTGTGCGTGTCACGATTGTTCGCGCGTGTGCGAGTGCGGTGGCGTGGGTCATGCTGCAATTCGGGAGAGTCCGAAGAAGAGGCGCGTGTGGTACGTTGCCAGTCGAGATAGACCACGACGCAGGTGATGTTGTCCGTGGAGTGCTGATCCAGCGCTTCCCTCACCAGGGCGTCCGCCGCCATCTCCGCGCCTGAGAGATCATCAAAATCGTTAAGGTGGCGTGTGACATCAACCGATAGCACGGACTGTTTAAGGTGGTCGTCGCGGTTAAGGTGGTTGAGTGACGCACTATTGCCGGCCTTCTTGAGGGCAGCCACGATTTCGATGGCCGTGTCGTAGGCCACGTGGTCCCACAGGCCGTCACAGCCCATCACCACGAACTCGTCGTCCGGCCGCAATCGCATGCCCGAGATGTGAGGGTCGCAGCTCACAAAGTCTTCCGTCTGTCGTCCGTCGCTCTCCATCAGCAAGCGCACACGACACACGCGGCACACACGACACACACGACACGCATACAACACGCACTTGGACGGGTTTCTTGTATTCTCGATCGCCGAGGGCGCGAGTGACGGAGAGATCGCCGAACAGACGGCCGAAAATGACGGTACCGCCGAGGTTGTCGATGCGCTCCCTCTCCTTCTTCTCGCTCACCCGATGCTTTTCCGTCAACACCACCCCTGCGCGTGCCAAAGTAGTCGTCAGCGGCGCGTGCGGTGTGGGCGCGTGCGGTGTGTGCGCGTGCGATTGCGGTGTGTGCGGTTTGCGGAGAGACGAACCCTGGTACTGTTCGAGTGCGGGCTGCCATCGGGCCAATACGGCCTCGCAGTCGCCCACGTTGGCGACGAATAGGCGGTGGCCCACCACCATGCACGCCGCCACGCACGAACCGCCCACCTTCTCCATGCTCTTCAACTCCTTGATCTGCGCGTTGTATGCGTGTGTGGTGCGTGCGTGTGCGTGCGTTGTGTGCGTGTGCGTGTGCGTGTGCGTGTGCGTGTGCGTGTGCGTGTGCGTGTGCGTGTGCGTGTGCGTGTGCGTGTGCGGTTTAGTCGTCGCACAAAGACCAAAAGAAAGAAAACAATGAGAAGGAAGTGCTGACCTGGCCGATGTGAAGGCGTCCATCGCCCACGCCGCCATTGGATTTGTTCAACCGGCGCGCCGGCGGTGAGGTCACTACAGCCGCCGGTTGGGCTGATCGTCACAGACAACAGGACACGCACGGAGCACGACACACGCGTCAGCAACCAATCAGATGAGGAATGTGGGGAGAAGTTAACTGTGCCCACCTGGTGATTGGCTCTCGGAAACGGCGTCGACGTCGAGACTCGCGGCGCCTCTCTCTGCAGCCGCAGCGGCTGCCAGTCCGGGATCCGGAGTGGCGAGGATGACCTCATCCGCCTTCTTAAACCCCTCCTTCAGCGCCTCTGTACGACACGCATGTGCCACGTCAGCAAACGCCACGCGCGGCATTGGGTTGGAGGTGGAGAGGAGGAGCGGCCGCCGCTGAACCTTGAAAGTTGCCTTCGGCGAAGGCGGTGGTCCCGGCCACCTTCAACGGCAGGACCTCTGCGCAGATGTTGGCCGCCGTCTTGCCTGGGCATGCCCACCACCCAGACCGCATTCAGGACACATTCCATGGGTTGTGGGTTGGGGTTGGGGGAAGAGAGCGAGGAGCGCACCCGCGTGTCCGTCGCACACGGCGTAGAAGGAGAGGCAATCGTTGGGGAATTGCGTGGGCGCCTGCCGGCCCTTCCTCAGATCCCGCCACGGCGCACCTTGCCTGGCCATTCGCGCCATCAGCGACAACACACGACACACGCACCACACACACGACACGATTGACACCTATCATGCACGGCATGGGCGTCCTCCATCGTCTCGCGACACCCGATGTTGGAGGCCGCGCCACCCTGACAGACGACATGATTGAGATAGCGTGCGTCGTGTGTGTGTGTGTGTGTCGTGTGTGTCGTGTAGTTCACACCAACGTCAGCAACAGAGAAGAGCAAGGAAGAGAGAGGAGGGCGCACGTGAGTGGCGAGGAGGTAGGGCTGAGGCCGAGCCGGCGCGAAGACAGCGGCCGGTCGGCCGGCCTGGGCCGCCAGCGGACGAAATCGCTCCTCGCCGGGCGAGGAGTGGGGCGAGGAGGAGGGCGAGGCGGCCGAGGGGAGGTGGAAGCGGACGCCCGGGAAGGGCGGGGAGAAGCCCCCGGAGGCCAAGGCGTCATCTTCATCATCTTGTCGTTGTTGATGATGAGCTTTGGTGTCCTCGTCTTCGCTCCCGGTGTGGCTCTTCCGCCCGTTGGAGTGCGGGGAGAGGGGCGGCGTGGTCACGTCGTGGTGGCGAATCCCCGGAAACGGAACGTCCGCCGATTCCTCGCCACCCACGCGACTTCCGCCCTTCCTCTTCAGCACGCCCTTCATCTTATTTTATATTATTTTATCCCTCTATTTCTCTCTTCCCTCCTTCGTTCTTTACGTTGATTTTACGCGTCGCTTTCGTTCTTCTTTTATCTCTATCGCTTTCGTTCTTTTTATCTTTGCTCCTCCGTGAGTTGAGGTTCGCTCACAGGGCCAGTGGAAAAAGAGAAGCGTTCGAAGCGTTTCCGAGGTGGGAGGGACGATCGGGTGTCCCTTCTTGTTGTCTCCCAGTTTATGAGTTCCCTCAATATTACCCAGTGGCAGGATTTATCCGGACATAATTATTGCATTTTCTTTTGGGATTTCTTTCCTACCGCTGAGTTGGATTACCCATCGATTTGTTGTAGATTGCTGAGGACGGTGCAGCACCCCTCTTTCCTCACATCATTTCAGTATAGATCAATAGATAGATATATAGAGATGAGGCGTGCGACTTCCTCCCTTTCGGCCGTCCCGGCTCTCCGTACCACCGGCATGCGGGCGACCTCTTCGCTCTTCACTTCCTCCTCATCGGCGGCCATGCTCAAGAGCAGGACTCTTCACTCTTCAGTCCCGCGCCAAGGCGACCACGGTGGTCTCTCGCAGGTTAGAGAGCTCTCATTTATATTATTCCGCCCCCCCCCCATCGGCAATTTCATCTATGTCGTAATGAAATGTGTGATTATTTGTCAAGTTGTGGTGCTCCATTTCTACCCCCCCCCCCACCCGAGGAATGATTGACTCGATGGTTAATCATTTGTGTGTGGGCGAGTGCAGCACCGAGACACGCCTGACAACACCATCGACACGCCGTTCGACTTCACCGAGGCCAACACCGTCGAGATTAAGAAGATCCTGGCCAAGTACCCGGTCAACTACAAGCAGGCGGCCACCATCCCGCTGCTCCACCTGGCTCAGTACCAGACCGGCGGCTGGGTGCCTCTCGCCGCCATGAACAAGATCGCCAAGATCCTTGAGATCCCGCCCATGAAGGTCTACGAGGTCGCCACCTTCTACACCATGTTCAACAGGTACACAACGCACTACGAGCTCTTCTTCTCTTCCTCTTCTTCTTCTTCTTCCGCTACTCGAGAGCTTTTGCAAAAGCTGATGGTTGGCGTGTAGGACGAAGGTGGGCAAGTACCACGTGCAGCTGTGCACCACGACGCCGTGCCAGCTGGGCGGCTGCGGCTCGACCGTGATCCTCGAGACCATCAAGAAGCACCTCAACATCGGAGTTGGAGGTATCGTTGGACACCGCCCCCCAACCACCCCAAACAATACCATGAAGCCTGGTGTGATGTCTCACCACCTTCACCCTCTCCCGCGCGATCGAGCAGAGACGACCGCCGACGGCCTGTTCACCCTGACCGAGGTCGAGTGCCTGGGTGCCTGCGTGAACGCCCCCATGCTCCAGATCGGCGACGACTATTTTGTACGTTCCCTATCCTGGCGGGCGTGTGTGCGTGTGTGCGTGTGTCGTGTGTCGTGCGTGTGCGTGTGCGTGTGTGCGTGTGCGGTTGTGTGTGATCGTGTGCGAGTGTGCGCTGACTTACTGGGGACTATGGGGCGATGCGCAGGAGGATCTCACGCCTGAGTCTACGGTGGCGCTGTTGGAGACGCTGAAGGCCGGAAAGACGCCCAAGGTGGGTCCCCAGACCGGCGGCCGCAAGAACTGCGAGGGTCCGCAGGGCAAGACCACCCTCTTCGCCGCCCCGGCCGGCCCCTACTGCCGACCCGACCTTGAGACCTGCGCTTAAGACTCGCGAGCTCGACCCCGCCATACTACTAGCCCTCCCACTCTGTACGAGCGTCAATGGGAACACAACATGTTTCTTTCATTTAACACATTTTATTATTTCTTCTTATTTGTTTCTGCAAGCTGCATTTCAGCCAACCACGTGTGCGGTACCATTTCCATTTTCGTCCTTCCACGTTCCTATTCTGGGTTTCGCGACCGTTGAGGACGCAGGAAGGGAGAGGGAACTCTCGCGAGCGGAGGAGCAAGGCCAGCCAGAACAGAAAGAAACGTTACAGCGCCGCCCCCTCGGTTTGGGCTGATCAACCGCCACCGTCTTGAGGCATCACGACAGCTGGGAGTGAGTGCCGCCCTGCCGACCACCCAACTCTCTCCGGGCGCAGCCCCCCCCCACAAGGACTGTCACATCCGCCACCATGGTGCGCTGCCCTCATCTTGCCAGGCCGACATGTGGGCTGTTGCGCTCACCTGATTTCTTGGGGTGCGGTGAGCAGAAGAAGAGCAAAGACAGCGGGGAGAAGAAGAAAGAAGAGAAGTTGCCGCGGCCTTCCCTGCTCGAGGTGCTGGAGAACCGGGAGCTGGCCCTCAGCTTCCGCCAATTCCTCCACAAGTGGTACTCCAACGAGTACGACCACTCCCTATTCTATTTATTGTTTCAATTCTGTTCGTTGGTTATTCTATTCTGCAAATAAGAAAAATAATATTATTTAACTTATAAATAAGAATAATATAACCACAAGGCTGACCACATAACGGCTGTGCTCCGTTCAGGAACCTGGCGTTTTGGGTGGCGGTGGAGGACTACAAGGGCCTGCCGCGAGAGGAGCGTAAGAAGCGCGCCGACGAGATCTACGGCAAGTACTTCCGCCCCAACTCTGATTACGAGGTAACTAGCCTTCCTTCCTGGGACGCAAGTGGACACCTGGTGTTGGTGGTGGAGAGATAATATTCTTTTATTTTGGCCCTACCTGCATCGAACGAATACAAACATCGGATGGCAGATCAACATCACGAACGACCAGAAGCGGCAGTTGGACGCGTCGTTGGCCGGAGCGAATCCGGACGTGTTCAACAAGATCCAGCATTCAATCTTCAACCTTCTCGAGACTGACTGCTTCCCGCGCTTCCTCGACAGCGACCTGTACAAAGAATACGAACAAGGTTCGCACGGTTCACACGTCAACAACCCCTCCCCCTCTCTGGCCTCTTGGTTGTGTTGAATGACACGCGCCACATGCACCACACTCGGTGCGACACGCGCAATACCGCACCGACCAGGGGTGCTGAACCAGAAGGGACGGAAGAGGAAGGACTCGAAGAAGGTGAAGAAGAAGCTAGAGGCCCCCAACCCCGCCAACCGGGAAGTGCGAAGCGAATCTCTCATCATGCTCGAACGATACGCGCAGAGCCACGAACGATCATGAAGAGAGATTACACCCTTTAAAACGTTGGCCGCCATCATCTTCGCGGACACGTGGTGGGGTATAGAAAAGGCCTAACTGCCTCGGCCTCCTCCAGAAAAGGCCTAACTGCCACACGTGTGGCCGGCAGAGAGCAACGGGGTCCCAATCCTGGCCACCCAAAAGGGTACCTACCACCGCAGTGGTGGTGGTGGCTTGCCTAACAGCCTGCTCGGTCACGGCGGCCTTGCAGGCCCCCCCCCTACTATCTCTCAACGGCAGCTTCCGCGGCCACAGAAAAGAAGGAAAGAAAAAGAAAAGAAAAGAAAAGAGAACGAAAAAGCGCCGGAGGGCACGTCGCTCGCGCTTGAGGGCCGCCATCCGAGGACCTCGAACTCGGGCACCAGCGTCCGCTTCTTCTTGGTCTTCTTCACTTCGTGGCTCGTGGACGACTAGTCATCATGGTGAAAAGAGAGAGAGAGAGAGAAGTGCGGTGAGGAGAGCTGCGCGATCATCGCACGCAACACAGGATCTCTCCCGACGGACGTACCCGAACTTGCCGTTCCTGAAGAGGACGGCGTTGGCTGCGGTCCTCTGGTGCTCCTGTGCCCGCTTCCGCTCGAGCAGCCGGAAGTGGAACTGCTGCTTTTCTGCAAGGAGGCACCAAAAGAGTGAGCCTTTCTCGTGTGTGCGTGTGTGCATGTGCATGTGCGAGTGGGGGGAAGAAGCCCTCCTCCTCCTGCCCGTTGACGAAGCACTACTGGAGCATGTACCACCTGCACCTCTTCCCCCCAGCTTCAGCGCCTGGTGGTACCACCCGGTCTTCCTTTGGCGCAACGACGATGTATCAAGTGGAGACTCTAATATCACACACGTCCATGAAGTCAGCGTCGTGGCAGAGCGTGAGTTGTGTGTGCGTGCGTTGGTGTGTGTGTGTGTGTTGTACGGATTATACCAGATTGGTGGCGCCCATGTTGTTGAGCTTATTCGGCAGGTTGGCCAATCACTGCAGGCGTCCTTGTCCTTGGCCTTGCGCGCGTCCTCGGGCAGCTGAATGTTGGGCGTGTGCACGTAAGAAAAGAACATCAGAGAGAAAGAGAAGAGAAGCGCCAACGTACAGGCATGCTTGAGAGACATGGCTGGCCCAGCTCCTCTTCCTCTTCGTCACCAGCGCTCCCCAGGCTGCTGTGCGGTGTACACCACCACACGACACAAGGGTAAGAAAAAGAGTGTTGCACGACACACACGCACGACACACACCACGCCACACGCACGACAGAGGAGGAGGTGGGTGCCTGGGTCCGGTCCCCTACCGCGACCACCTCTTCCGGGTCGACGCCCAGCACACCGAGCACGCCCACGCCTTCCTGTGCGCGTGCCACCCATAACCGCCGCCTCCACCCATAACCGCCGCCGCCTCCACCCATCACCGCCGCCGCCACCCATAACCGCCACCCGCCGCCGCCGCCTCCACCCATAACCGCCGCCACCGCCACCCATCACCGCCGCCTCCATCCATAACCGCCGCCACCAATACCCACTTCCTGTGCGCGTGCCACCCATAACCGCCGCCACCACCCATAACCGCCGCCGCCGCCACCCATAACCGCCGCCGCCGCCACCCATCACCGCCGCCTCCATCCATAACCGCCGCCGCCGCCTCCATCCATAACCGCCGCCACCGCCCATAACCGGCGCCACCGCCACCCATCACCGCCGCCACCATCCATAACCGCCGCCACCACCCATAACCGCCGCCACCACCCATAACCGGCGCCACCGCCACCCATCACCGCCACCGCCGCCTCCACCCATAACCGCCGCCGCCGCACCCATCACCGCCGCCTCCATCCATAACCGCCGCTNNNNCCCATAACCGCCGCCGCCGCCACCCATCACCGCCGCCTCCATCCATAACCGCCGCCTCCACTCATAACCGCCGCCGCCGCCACCCATCACCGCCGCCTCCACCCATAACCGCCGCCGCCGCCACCCATCACCGCCGCCGCCGCCGCCGCCATAACCGGTTGTGTTAGAGCTCTCTCTTGTGGCTGGCCAAGTGCAGCGCCAAGTGTGCCCCTACCCCTCGCGCGCGGGCGTCTGGTGAGTGCACCCGCGTGGGTGCAGCCAGCCATTCGCCCGTTTTCCCTCCACATTCCACTCCCCGGCTCCTCCGTCTGTTACCCACCTCGACGAATTTTGCACCATTGAGTTTGGCAAACGACAACAATATATTGCAGACAGCAGTGGCGGGTATTGGTGTAGGTCTGGATGGCGCGGACGCCCTCGCGGTCTTCGAGTTCGATGAGGCGGTCGTGGCGGTCGGCCAGCCCGGCCTCGGCCTCGTCGGTGGCAAAGTGCGCGGCGAGCGGGACCGGCTGCTTCTTGTACAGACCCACCATCCCCGCCACCGCCGCCGCATCAAAGCACGCCGGACGCTGCACGTCACCACACACACACACACACGCTTGTGAGTGCGGCCGCACACGCGCAACCGCACACACGCAACCGCACACGGACCTTGTCGAGAAGCTTGACGAGGGCAAAGAGGAGTTCGGTGACGAAGGCGGGTCGCTGGCCGCCGAGCAGCCGCTCACACCGTCGGACGACTCCAGCAGATCGAGCGCCCCCGACGTGCTCAGCTGGTCGGCCATCCTGCGTGCGCACACACGGCACACGAACACATGGCACACACGGGGTCAGAGGGAATGGTTAAGGTGGTTGTGTGTGGTGGGGGGGGGGCGAGGGTACCCTCGTGAGGCGCGGTGACGATGGGAGGCGCCGCGCTGGCGCGAGTGGGGCTCGAGCGGGCACGACATGCGGTAGAGCTCGGCCTCGCTCACGTGGTCCACCTGGCTGCGGAAGTAGGGCACTGGAGCACGGGGATCTCGGTGAGGCAGAGTAGGGCGAGGTCTGGAAGTGCTGCAGCAGGTCCTTGATGCTCTCCGCCTTGAGCCGCCGCTTCTCAACAAAATCTGCGCGTGATTGTACCGAGATAGGGATACGGGGGAATGGTGGGCGGGACTGAGGCCCGGATGGCGGTGCGGAGGAAGTGTGCTCGGAGAGGTAGGCAAGGGCGAGCTCGTAGGCGGCGGTGGGCGCGAGGAGGGCGGACGCGGGCGAGAACGAGGCAAAGGTGGCGAAGACGGTGACGCTGACGTCGAACGCCGCCTGATATGTGTGCATGTCGAGCGTTAGTTGCGTGCGTGTGTGTGTGCGTGTGTGTGTGTGTGTACCTCGTCGCGCACGGTGTCGTCGTCGTCTTCGAGCAGGCGCACAACGATCGCCCACGCGGTCAGCGAAGTCTGCTCGAGTGCCTGCTCGACCTCCTTGCCTGCTCATTCACTCACCCGGGTATAAGACGAACGCGTCGTGCGTGTGCGTGTGCGATGAA